GTGTCGGTACCGCAGGGCCCGGCGGGGAGCCCCGGGCCGGGCCGGGCCGGGGCGGGGCCGCTGCGGGAGCGCCGTGTCCGTGCGGCAGCTCCCGTGCAGCGGCCGAGCCGCCCCGGCACTGCCGGCAGCGCGATTCCCACGAGTACCATGAGTTCCGCCTTTAGCAATGGCGTCCGAATGCTTTTTTGTTGTTTGTTTTGTGTGTTGTTTTTTTTTTTTTCCCTCTGCCTATTTTTTAGTTGGATGCTGATAACTATGAGACTGATCTATGCTTGAAAGAGATTAGGAGAGCAGAAAATTATTCTTGGATGGATATAGTGACCATACACAAAGACAAGCTTCCAAATTATGAGGAAAAGGTATGCGAAACTTGGCTCTCGGTGCAGGTTTCCGCACAGCCCAGCGGGACACGGGGATGAAGCTTCCACGTCTAAAATACATCCTGTACCGAAGTCCTGAACATTAAAAAAGAACTTTTGATGTAATTTTAAAGATAGTAGAGGTCCTTTGCTTCTGTAGGTTGCCTTCAAAGGTTTTGAGGATCATTTCCATCACTGTAATTTCATAACTAAGACTCCTACCAGGAGAGTTCTGCCAATGCTGACCTGTTCTCAGAGAGCCTCTCTGAGATGAAGGCAAGTAGCTGCCAGCTGGGCCTGGGCTTTGAAAGCTTTGACAACCTAATGGCTGCTTGCACAATGCATCTTTTTTAAGTGAGTATTACCCCCATGGAATTGGAGGGATACATGCTTTGTACAAGGAGATTTTTTACCTTGGGGAGCTTATACCTTGACAATTTCATAGCAGCTCAACACTGTTCAGATGAGCCTCCTAGAAGGAGCTTTCTCATCCCAACCTCCAGGTGCTGCTGGCTTGCTGCTCTGACTTGAAGACAGCAACCCAGTGACATTTTCATATTTTTATTAAATTTCCATTTACCAGTTTGTTTTAAGCCCATTGTGTTCTAGTGGTTTTGTTTTGGTGAGAAGGTAAATTAGGTAGTAACTCATTAAGAAGATGGCCTGGGTAGGCTCTGTCTGACAGAAAGATGGGCCATTCTTTACAAGACATAGGGACTTTTGCTCATCCTGCTGCGCTGGATCACTTCTGGCTCAAGGACATCTACAGAAGTGTGGCTAAACATCATTCAGACCTGAGCAGGTGGTGATGGTACCTGGCATTGCACTGCCCATTGTGCACTAAACCTCTCAGGTCTCCGTTAATTGAACTTTTAAAATGTGTTTTGTATTCTGTGAATGTACAAAGAATTTGCCATTCCAGAAAAAAGAGAATGTTGCTGCCACTGTCTTGGACAAGAGAGCCTGGAGCTGGGTCTGACTGTGTGTGGGCAGGCATGACACACTGTTTACATCAGATTGCTGTAGATGGGCCGTGTTTGGCAGTAACTGCATTTTCACAGACAGTGGTAGTACCCTGTGCAGCTAATTCAGCTCTACATAAGTGTAAAAGAGGGGGGATAGTCTGAGGCTTTGTTTTGGTGCTGTGTGTTGAGCGGAAAAAAACCACAAAATGATTGAACTGAGCAAGCGCAAGGACCAAATCCTGTAGTGGGAAATTTTACCCATCTCTCTTTCAAATGGCTGTAAGCATTACTGTTATTCAGAGAATGGTTACATACAGCTAGAGCTCCTTCTTGCCAGAGGAGTTCCTGCCCTGCAGAGGAAATGTAGAGGCCTGCTCAGATGTGTCTGGAGATGGGCTGGCTGGCTGGGTTGGCCATCTTACCCACGTTGGTCTGCTCTGTTAGTTAAAACACAGTTACCCTTTGAAAGCCTTTCTCAGCTTCTCTGTGTTTCTACCAGATTTCTTTGCAGCTTTCCCATATCCAGTAGTTTTCCAAAATATTTGCTATTCCTAGATAAAGACATTTTATGAAGAACATTTACACCTCGATGATGAAATTCGCTACATCTTGGAGGGATCTGGCTATTTTGATGTTCGAGACAAGGATGACAAATGGATTCGGATTTTCATGGAAAAAGGAGACATGATAACCCTCCCTGCTGGCATATATCACCGATTTACACTGGATGAGAACGTATGTTGTGTAGATTACCGTAAATTTTGATAACAAATCCATGTGAATATATATCACATTAGTAACTGCATGCCCTGAGACTTGCAGTTCATTAGTAAAACATGTTGCTTTCCTTTTGGAATCTGGAGACTTCACACTTCCTGTAAGCTTTATTTTTTGGGTAGTTCATGCACTTCCCATTCTGTTTCCATGGCTGTGACTGTGATGCTTCTGGTGTTCCCCAAAAGCATTGTGTAAACATCTTGGGTACTTGGGTTGCTGCTGTTTAAGTAAGCAAATAGGGTTTAAATTGCTGCACTGCTGAGTATTGCGGATCCGGTGCAAAGGTCTGCATAAGACAGGATGGTTTTGGTTTCTTTGAAATGGTGCAAAGTACTGCTTCTTCCTGAACTGAAGGCATTGATCATAACACAGTGTATCACTGCATAGGTGCTAGAGTCTTCCACTGCAGGCACTGGGAGCAGGACCAGCAGTGTAGTGCTGTAATCTTCTGGAATGTGTGAAGCTTTCAGTCCATCATGAAATAGTTTCAAAAATTTCTGCTGAAGCACAAGTGAAGCCTTAAATTTGACATGAAGATCCCTTGAAAAGGAGCTCTTAAATGATTTGTCACTTCTTGTTCTTTGGCAGAATTATGTGAAGGCAATGAGGCTGTTTGTTGGAGAACCCGTCTGGACGGCGTACAACAGGCCGGCTGATGATTTTCCTGCTCGGAAACAGTACATGAAGTTTCTGGCTGAAGAAGCACATAATGGTGTCTGAGACCTGACAGGTGGAACATCCCGAAACCCCGTCAGGATAAATGTGCCTTGTTGCTTTTCACTGATTAAACTTGTACTTAGGTAGGAAATTGGAATGACAGAATCCTAGAAAAATTTAGATTAAAAGGTCATTTGTAGGTAATTTAGTCCAACCTTGTGAACTCCTATGCCAGTTTTAAAGCTAGACCAAGTTGCTCAAGACCCTGCAGTTTGGAAACCTCTGGTAGTGGAGGTTCCACAGCCTGTCTGGGCGCTAGCTCCGACACTTAGCTGCTCCCATGGCCAAGCATTTGTTCTTCATGACCAACTCCTTGGTTGCAGTTTGCAGTTGTCTATTGCCCTTTCACTGCATGTCTGAGGAGAGTCTGGCTCTGTCTCCTTCACAGTCCCTGCTCTAGTAGTTGGGTCTCCTGTGAGCCTTCTCCTCTCCAGGCTGCACAGACCAGTGCCCTTGGCTGGGCTCCCTTCTGTTCTGCCCTAGTTCTGGTGACTGAGGGATGTCACTTGTAACCACCTAGTTTGAACCACAGACTGTTTCGAGCCCAATGGACCTGAGGTTCTTTATCCATTCAGTAGTTTGTGTCCTCAGCCAGGCTACAAGGTTGCTGTGGGACACACTAAGTGAAAGCCTTGCTGGAGTCAAGGTAAATGGCACCTATGGTGTCCCCTCTGGTACAGAGCCATTGCCCCTGGCAGTCAGCATCAAGCAGAATGTGCTCTTGGTGAATTGGCGTTGACTGCTCTCCATCACCTGGCATTTCTTGTGCCTGGATTATTCTGTAACATTCCTGGGGACTGAAGTGGGGCTGAGCAGCCTACAGTTCCCTGGATCTTTTGTGCCTTTTTGAAGGTGGCAGTATTATTTGCCTTTTCCTGCTCAAAAAGGTTTTCCTGATCTCTGTGACCTTTCAAAGATGCCAGCAGCCTTGCAGTAGCAGGTTGCATTTACAATTGTTCAAGAATCCATTTTCTAATCTTTTTTTCCTTGGTATTTCTGGCAGGTAGAATTGTGAGAGGTGGGCTACATTAATATTCATTTTGCTCAGAATTCATGCTAATGAACTATGTAGGATTCTGGTTTTAATTAAAGAAAATAAACCCTCCTTCATTCTTGTCTAAAAATGTTAATGAGATAAATCTGCACAATCGGCATTTTAGTATGCAGCTTTCCAAGTTCTACCCTGGTACATAAAGCTGTGGTTTTCTCAGTAAAATGTAGCAAATTTGTTCTTGTGAGTTATTAATAAAATTACTTTGATCTAGGTATGTTGATTTTTTATTGCTTTGGGGTTTTTTTTATTCTTTGTGCTGACATTTAGAACCCATTGAACAACGGTGTTACTCTAATTATTAATCAGCTTTTATTCCTTGTGCTGGCATTGATTTGTTCTGTAACATGGGACAAATGACTCGCTGTGCCTCAGTTTCTTGAGCTGTGAGAGGGAGAAGAGTTGGCTTAGGCACAGTAGGCTGGTTTTCAGTAGATAGCTTGTGCTTGCACGGGACATGGAGCTCCCCAGCAATGGGCACTGGAGCGTTTTACTCTTCTCAGTGATGAATTATGTCAGCTGGGTAGATGTACTGCTTGCTGCAGCTCTCAGTGGATGATGAGCTGACTGTAGCCTGTGTGCTGATTCCAGCCAGATATAATACATGCTCCTACCTTGCAGTGTCCTAAATAAACAACTAGAAGGAGGTTGAAATGGTCCTACCTGGGTCTTCCTGATGTAGCAGATGATGGATAATTGAACATTCCCACTGTTCTTTCCTATGAGTATATACACAGCCCTTCTTTAGTGGTAATAGTGTTTTTTTCACTTTGTAGCAGCATTACTGTTAACCATTTCTAGGTGTTCTATTTCTTTAAATGTTTCTGAGGGTGAAGTTGCGTGGGACTATCTGAAAAATCGGTGTTAGGAGCAAATAGGAAGTTTAGCTATAGTCATACACACATTGGGGAGGCTAAGCAGTGACATGTGCCTTACTGGCTCAGGGATTTGTGTGCCACTTGCCTGAAGGGAGCACTTGAATGTCCTCTTGTACAGCAGACTGGGGCTTCCTGCTCCCAGAACAATCTTTGGGGATTTTTCAAGGTACAACTACAGGAATAAATGACAGTTGTTGCCTGCAGCAGATTTTATTCCTTTGATTTATATGCCACAGAAAATTGAGTTTCTGAATGTAAAATAAAATGACTGCTTTCTCCTGGTGCTGGTATCAGTCCCTGGTATCCCATCGAATTCATCCGCCTTCTAAGCTTTTGTTTCCTTTTTTTTTATCAGAAGCCAAGGTGAGACTGCTCATTTCTCATATGGGCCTTTCTGTTTTGATCTATCTCAGCAAAAGGAGAGGTGGGGCAGCAGCACAGGCCCTCAGGAACCCCCAGTTCCAGAGCAGCCAGCCCCAGCAGGCTGGGGGAGCGACCAGGAGGAGAGAGCAGGTAACACGTTCTCCTCGGGAGAGATTTACAGTTGGGAGCAGTGATGAGGGATGGACAGTAAAGCGCCTGCCCGCCGCAATTGCTTTCAGCAGCTCCCTGATGTAGGATGTGACCCAGGGAGCAGGACTGAACCACCTTGTTTTGTTGCCTCTCTGGAGGAATATATACTCCCAGTACAGCTCCCATCTCCTGGCTGTCAAAATAACACACGATCACCCCACTGGAGATCGTTCATCATTTTCATAGCACAATGCATTCTGCTGCTGAGAGGTGGCAGGGGCTGTGGGGGGTCTGACTGTCAACACTTCGGAGTCCATGCCCTTTAGTGCTATAGGTGTCTTTGAAAGGGTGAAAGCTTTGCACTCTGAAAGTGGTTTTTGTCAGCCAGGAAAAAAGCAATTTGAGGCCGGTATAAAGATTCCACTCCTGCAAAGAGGTTATGTAGGAAATTATAGTGGGAGGAAACAGCTGGGCAGAAAAAAAATGTTAATAGAAAACATTGTAGAAAGCAGAGAGATGGGAAGGAGAATATGCCATTCCTTCAGATGAAAAATGCAGTTCATTTTCATCAGGGTTTTGTGGTATTTTATTTCTTCCTTCTGCTCCCCCTGCCCCTCCAAGAAAAAAAAAAAAGTACAAATGAAACTGATTTTTGGTCCAAAAACATGATTCTGTTTTAACACAGGTGGAAAATCCTGGTATATTGAGGTAGTATGAAGATTCATGGAAGTAGTTCCAGCAACATTATATTGGCAGCATTAACTCAAGCAAATATTTCAGCTTCTCCAGGATTAGAGTTAAAAAAAAATAGGATAAATGGTACCGAATTGAGATGTTTAAAGATGGCATTTTTTGGTACTGATGTGTGATTCTCTTCTTTAATCCAAACTTTCCCAAAGTGGCATATACCCCATTTTCTCATGAACACATTGAGAGATCTTTTCTGAAGGGGACTTCATGTAAACTGTGGATGGACAGTAGGATTTTTAATAATTTAGGTTAGCAAAGTGGTGGCTGTGCTCCCTTGTTGTATGTCCTGGGAAAGTTTCTTTGGCTGGATTTTTTAATGAAAAGACATCTCATGGTCAGTTGGTAGTTAAATAGTAACATCCACTTGGGAAGGGTCTAAAAATAGGTGAAGGGAACTGCTGTTGGTGGTGAGTGTCCTGCCCTGGGCTGCCTGAGAGCAGGGGATGTGCTGCTACCTGCAGCTGTGGGAGCTGGTAGCTGCCTGTCCTGGCTGCTGAACTTGACGAGTATAAATCTTCATGTACTCAGAGCATCGGGTCCTACTGGCAGAACAGGCACTCTCCTGCCAGGTTTCTGGTTCCAGGACTTAGCCTGAACTAGGAACTTTGTGAAGGGACAGACAGTTTCCTGACAAAGGCAGTCATTTAACATCAGCTGGCAAACACCAGCACACATAAAACTGAGATGCAACTTGAGCACTGCTTTGAAGAGTATTTCTTTGTAGCCAGATTGTAGATTTAGATATTTGGCCAAACTGTAGACCTGACTATGCTTGAAAATGACATCATTTGTTTGGGAGTCTTTCCTGGGAAAATGATAGAAATTCTCAGATCCCCACCAAATAGGGGAGGAAGTTTGAGAATAGGTTGTCTTCTGACAGTTGTCTATTTCCTGAAGCCATATAAACATATCAGCTCATTGGGGGGATGAAATTGTGTTACAATTTAAATATTCCTGGTTCAAAGATGCAGATCTCATCTTATTTACTGCACTCATTGTGATATTACAGCTTGATTCCCAAAACATTTTGTGTGGTTACAAAAATCTAATACTCTGCTATACGTGCAATTTGAAAAACCTATTTTTGTGCAACTGAGTTGCTAGGTCTCATTATTTATTTACTGTGTAAGTATCCAGATAAGGCAAAGAAGCAAAATTTCACAAACCAAAATGCTTGGGGAAAGATTCAACAGTTAAAGGACTGTGAGTCTCTTGCAATTCAGGCCTCCCCTGCTGTAGTTCTCTCTGGGATACCTGCATTAATTTTGTTTCACTCTCTATGCTGCTTCTCAGAGTACCAATTAAAAACTGTTGTGCCTGTCAATATCAGCTGGTAGAAAATTGGGCTGGGTATGCTCTGGGATTGCCTTTGGTCACAGACACAGCCCAGAGCAGCCAAGCTGAGCTCTGGGCTCTGGTTTCCACTGTGATCACAGGCATTTGAGCTGGGAGAATTTGATTTGGGTCCACCCTCAGGCTTATTTTTTTCCCAAATGATTCAGGCAACTTAAAGCTGACCTGCTGTTCATGGGAAGGAGGTGAGCTGTGCTTGGTGATGCCGTAACAAAACAAAGTGGTGGCTGGGTTATGCACAGGCTTCTGCCTCAGCCTTGGGTGGGGGCTTAGTCCTGCTGCCTGCCACTGGAGTGTGTCCCAGAATTTGAGTACTTGCTCACACATTGCATTGAAAATAATGGTTGTTTTTTGTTGGGGGATTGTTGTCGGTTTTTTCTTCTAATAAACAGCTCCACCTCTGCATCTCTACTTCAATTTTTTAATTTAGTACTGACAGTTTTGACAGTTTTTCAAAGCCAAAGTGGAACCTTCTCCTCTCTTCCATCCTTGCCTCAAAAAGGAAACATCCATTTTTTTCCCCCTCTTTGTGGGAAAATTATAAGCCATTATTGCTGCCTTTTGGGTGGATTCATTTCAATGACTCTCATACATAATAAACATCTGCAGATGACTGCCCAAATCTAGGACAGAAAATCTATATGTCAATCCAGAACAGCTTGGAAAGGCAGCACCTAGGTCTTCCTCCCCATGCACACTTTTCCTAAGACCAGGGTTGTGACCATCTCACATCTCTTGAAGATGAGAATCTTTAAATTTGTAATCCCCAGACTGGCTGGGAGAACTCAGTGGGAAAGCAACTTTCTGCTACCATTTCCTGAAGGTTTGTGGCGGGGCTTGTTTGCATTCAGCACTACAAAACTGCTGTTCAAATGCCAGAAACTGTGTGGATTCCTGCATTGTAAGGTACCTCACTGGTAAGATAATTCCTTCCTCAATGTTTAATCAAGTGGGTAGAAAGCAGGATGGAAGAAGTGGAGGCATCTTCCTTTGAACTCTTATATGGGTGTGAGGTACTGCTTAAACTCACTTTAACATCTTTAATTTCCCTGGCCTCTGCTCATGACAGCAGCATTATAGGTTGCTACCTCAGAGAAGTTGACTTTGTCTGCTGCAGTTCTGCCTGTCTGAAATACATTTACATCTGTATTTGATGCTTCAGTCCCATTTTACCAATATTGCTTGGTCGCAAGTTGAAGCACCAAGGGAATGTGTGTTTGTCACTGCAGCTGCTGATAGCAGTACCACACATCCTGCACTCCCCTTTCAGACAGCTCCAGCACATGCAGTTAATTAAGCTGACATACAAATGAGAGAGACATAACTTAGCTGTGCATAAAGATCATACCCCACTTATCCTCCTCTCTGACTGGATTTGTGAAACACCTGCAGCTAAGGTTTCACAGAAGAATGGTCTGTGTGCCTCTAAATAAGCCTATAGTGCAGAAAACCCAGCAGCCTACCCAGGCAGCGTGGTAATTCCCAGCACACCTTTGTGCTGACAGCATCAGGACGAAGATGTACCTGAAAAGGGTGTTAGCTGGCTGAGCTCACCCCAGTGAGCTCACTCACCAAGTCAGTGAGCTCATCTGGACTGTGCTGAGCACTCCTGCTGACATGAAGGATAGGGTAGGTGAAGGAATGACCATCCTTTCCAGTACACTGGCTGAAGTCCATTTCGGAGTTTCAGGAATGTCTGCATGTGCCTTTGGGAAACACTTGTGTCCAG